GCAATTTTTTCCCCATTTACACAAAATTTTTCACAACCTCAGTTTCAAAGGGACACAGTAATGCCATGCAGATAAAACCCTCTTAAAACCCAGGGAAGCCCCACTTTGTCAATTCACTGAATTTTCCACATAGCACTGTATTAGGGGAAAGAATGTATGACTTAAGATAAATCAAATGCATACAGGATGCCAAGATCTAAGGCACAGATGGAAACATTCTAGTTAAGTCTCCCTTCAAGGAAGGCTTCCCGAGGGGTCTAGAAAAGCATGGAAGAACATGCCAATCAGGTCAAATGGTATTAATTAAGAATCCTTTGGTTTTGTCCAGAGATCAGACTATCAAAATGAAGCATGCACTTGTCTCTGTTCCTACTATTTGTTAATTCCTTCAATTCTAGTTTGCTCCTGAACTTTCACCACTTACTCCTCCTGCTAACAGGGAGCATCATACAAGCTTAATAACTACATCAGATAATGCACAAGCTCTACAGAACTTGTGTTTGGGGTGGGGGCCATCTACAATATACTGATTAACAGAATTCAAGGTCAGAAGGAGCCACTAGACAATTTCAGTTTGACTTTGTGCATATCACAGGCCATAAATATTTTATCTAGCCACTCCCTTATTGAGTGAAATATGTTGGATTTGACTAAATATGACTTGTATTCAATTATATGGCAATTCTTTAAAAGTTTAGCACCAATTCACTGAAGACAGACGCGCATCATCTGTAATTCTGTGTAGAGTATAGGCACCGTGTGTTTTGCTTGCTTAAGTATACTTTGGTGACACTGATGAAATTAGACAGCTTAAATCAGGGGAGAAAGTGTTACCAATTTTTTTTTTTTTTAAAAGAAATATAGTATTTAGACTCCTCGATGGGTAAGAAAGACAGACTAAGGAGTTCAAATATAAACCAAAGTGGAAAACTATGCAGGAATTAATACATACATAGTCAGGTCAATCTCTTCTCATACCAATCCTCAGTACTTCTACTGTGCAGATGTGAGACATAATACAGCTTTTTCCTCCTGTGTTTCCAAATGAAGTGAAATCACACCCCTCACAAGGTTGACTGATAAAAGAAAAGAATTCCGATTTGCAATAATAGGGTGACAAAAATATACTGAATCACTGCTTCGAAGAGCAGCCACATCATTTCTGGTAATTGCACTACGTGGAAAGTATCTTTTCACTTTTACTTCCCTCCCTCCTACACTCCTGCCTAGGTAAGCAATCTTTGATTTAATTTTTTTCTCTTTACTAAGTTAAGATTTGCAGTCTTTTAATAGTGCCATGAGCTTGTTTCTCCACCACAAGTTATTAAAATAAGCACTTTCCCTCCAATTGTAACCAGCTCATGGTGCAATGAGCATGATGTTTTTTCCATCCACATCCAGATAAAAACTGCTAATGGACAAAATTTTTAGCAGTTCAGTCACACTACCCCTTCCTATTCCTTTAAGGTCCCTTTCAGCTTCCAATCCATTCAGTGAGATCTGAGATGTTAGGATTTAAGCTTAGAAGTTGTCAGACTTCCCTGGACTTTGAAGTATGCTTGTAGTGCACTTTGCTTGTTGAGACAAAACTCTAATGTCTTTGATACTAGTAATGGTAAAAATCAAGCACAATCACTGCCTGACAAGCAGGAGACCACACTGCAGAGGAGGCATTACAGAATCTGTTCACTTGAAAAGTACAGCAAATCCACAAGTGGGTCTGTTCTTGGACAATTTGCCTACTGATTTCCTTCTAGAAAACCGGATACATATTTTTAACATGCAAATATGCATGTAGCTATCTATGCATCTCAATGAGATAGCCCAGTAAAGAAAGAACTTGAGGGACGCTCCCCAGCTAATCACAGTGTTAAATGACTTTACTGGAATCAAGTTCACAATCAATGATAAAAATGGGAGGATTTAAAGCACTGATTTAAAAAAGAATTCACACTTATTCAACATTTTTTATCCAGATGCATCCCAAAGAATATTGCTTAATTGATTATAACATTATCTACGAAAGACCTAGATACGGATCCCCCCTGAAAACCTACTCACTATTTAATTACTATGACAACCTTTATACACTATTTCAACAAACCATTCCTTAGCCGAGGCCTGGATTTTTGTTGGTTCTGTCACAGGGACACAGGCTTTCACATGTGCCACAAACTTCAAATGATCTGTCAGATCTACTGTAAAAAACAAAACAAAACACCGAAAAAAAAAGAGCATCTCCTCATTTGCCTGCACAACTACAGAAAGGCATGTTGGTATTTAGATCATGCCATTTTGTCTTTCCCTTCGGCTCCTTCCCCCCCAGCAGTCCCCTTCAGCCCCCAATTCCTCAACTCACAGTACCTCTGCTCAGGGAGAGGGCCCTGTTCACACACAATGCGATGTGTGAGCAATGAAAGCCATTAGCTGCAAAATCTCAGGACAAAGAAGAAAGAAAAATACTCCCTGTGCTTAGTCCCACTCCCCAAGCCTATTGTTTCTTTTTAAACTTTGACCCACCAAGTGGAGAAGACTGGGGACAACGCAGAGAAAAACTACATCCCCTGAAGGAGAACCCACTGACCTCATTTAAGCATGTGCAATGCCCAAATGTTTTAGCTGCTCCTCATTTTAGCACTGTGATAGCCTGCTAATCACCTCCAGGCAGCCTGCTTTCGAAACTAGAAGAAAACTACTCAGGGGAGGTACAAGAGAAACGTTACCCACAGTTTGCATAGCTCTTAAGAATCAGAATCAAGTAATGAGTAGACTCACAAGGGTCATAGGATCATTCCAGACTACGAACAATCAGCCGGAATGAATATCCCAGTGCTGTCTCAGGATGGACAGACTATCACTGCTGTAACGAGACCAAAGTTTATCTGCAGCAGAGCACAGTACTTGCTGAGACTGTCACAGAAAAATGTTATGCAGTATTTCGGGTTTTAAACATATTTTTATATGTTTTGAAATTCATGCTGAATACAGACCAAATTTAGCTAAGCCCTTCAGGTTTTTCAGATAGAACGCAAAAAGAACAAGCAAAAAAGATGAAGAAGCAAAGAACTGACTACAAGTCCATGTGATTTGATACAGTTTCTGAGATAACAAAAAAGTCAATTTCTTAACATTACAAACTCAATTCTTGTCTCTGAAGCACTACTACATTTATCTATGGATGTGTTTGATATGCGCACATTTCATGAGGAAGGCAGCTGAACTGCGCAGAGTGCAAGAAAACAGTTCACAGATTAAATGGGTATGACGTTCATGTATCTATCCTAATTGCAGAATCTATGCAATCTAAAACTGCTTTTTTGCACTTACTGCATAGCCTGCTACTCACTTGCAATGGCTATATCAGGAAAAATAATAAAAATCAGCTACTTTACTTGCTAGAAAATAAAGCATGTCTTGAAACTGATCATATGCAATGATACACTCATTAAAATAAAAATACAAAAAACACATCCTGAGATTTTAATTCTAGTATTTTTGCCATGAGTTGACATCACTGACGGATTTTCTTCTCCTTTGGTTTTTAATATGATCCTGTTTAACAATTTTCACTATTCAAGTAAAACAAATGGAACTGAATACCAGAAAACAAAATAAAAAGCACATTTTGTTTCATGAAATCGAAAGTATATTTCCCCTTTAAGAGAACATTCCTTGGTGTACAAGATTTACACTTCAGAGAACTTAGTACTTGAAGCTGTTTCATAGAAATATGTTTGTTGCATATAGATGCATGCTGCATTGATGGAGATATATTGCTGCCTGCAGGACTCAAACCTGCTAAATTTACCTGAGCTTGGTGTTTTCTCACTTAACGGAGTACAGCACAGCACTGAAGAGGAATCAAAATGTTATGACAACGTTGCATCGTACTTCCACATATTCTGAAGGCAGAGCCAGATGCCCTGAACGATATCTCAGGTGATGGAGAGAATTCTTTCTAAAGTGCACCAACTGAAAGGAGACTCGCCAGGCTGCTAGACTGGCAGGTTCTCCACCCCTTGTATAAGCAACTCATTGTCTTTGGTTGTTAGGATTCACCAGCTGTTTTGTTCATCTTGTTAACTGCCTCAGCGGCTTGCTCTGGCAGGCGCGATGGATCTGACAGAATTGAGGTGGTTGTACTTAGATGCCGAAGGGTGTTCAGCACCACTATAAAAAAAGTCAAAAGTATCAAGAAAAGCCATTAGCCTGACTGTGAACAGATCCATGCAGGATAGTGTGCAGGTACTACAAGGCTGTTACGCATGACAGAATTATGGAAATACCTCTGCAAAACATGCATACCTCCACACACAGTGACAGCAATAAACAGAGATGTGCAAGAACTGTGCCCAGGGAACAAGGAATGGAGATTTAGGACGTTTTAAAAAACACCCCTATTTCTTCTACAAAAGAGAGTACCACTTGGCAATTATAACTGTAAATGTTAAACACTTGCTGAATTGCAAGGGGGAAAGGATCAAGCAATCATGCCCAAACAGAAGGTCATTCCAAAGCTGAATACAAGTCTCAGAAGTCTTCCTTCATAGTGAGATAAATCACACTACCAAACTTACTCCAGCTAGAGCAGAGTATTTGAAATTTAAATGAAGCTTGAGACTGTTTAAATTCTGGTATCTATATTCAGCAATTTGGGTTTTTTTTCTGTTCAGTGTTAAGCATGCAACCAAGTGCCTTCACAGGCAAAAGAGGTTGTTCTTTTTCCACTAAGATAAAAAGGAACTGGAAGTCATATTCAGCATCATGTGCTTGCTTTGTCATCCTCTGACTTTAAAGAAATAGTATTATATGTGGTCTAACTTTCTATGATCTGGAATAACTGCTGGATAGAACTTCACTTACTTGGCCTCAGAATAGGAAGAGAACAGTGCTGATCCAACCAGGCCATTACAGTTTGATTCAGATCCTTCAAGCTTGTTGTGGAAACCATCCCATTGAAGGACTCAAACAATGGCTTAATAATAATGCTGAACTGCAAATCATCAAACGTTAAGGGAGACAACAAAGGAGGAGTTCAAAACATTCTATGGGAAAGGCTACTACAGCTCAGTCTGCAGAGAAAACAGTAGACTTCTAAATGGACTTCAACTACTAGAGGGATTGCAACATTTCAAAAAATATTTTTTGAAATCTGTAACACTAAGACAAAGGAAAAAATTGAACCTCAGTTCCTAGTGATACTCACTGGTTTTTGCAAAATTCCTGTACAACTCACCTGATCTCCTACAAACCAACTGCATGCTGTGGCACTGTTGCAAGCGCATAAGTATCTGAAACTTCTACATACATGTAATTTGTTCAACTTCTTCGTTGTCACTTTTTCATGAAAGCAACACTGATGCTTTCCTAGCAAAAGCATATAGAAGCTTTAGTGTAACCACACCACTTCCATAGCACACCATAGATGCATCCAAGGTGGGGTACCTGGATGGGTCTTGCCTGGCAATAGTAAGTCTAGCACAGGCCAACAGTGCAAGTATTCAGCCAATTTCTCAGGCAGATTTTTCAGCAAACACTCAAGTTCTCTGCTACTGCAGCTAAACAAAGACCTCAAAGTACATAAGCAGATTCTCAGAGATGATCAATGGCGTGACAAGGATTCCCACACCAAGGACCAGACTTGCTGATCTGCATCTGTGTGGACCAGAACAGTAGCAAGCTGAGGAATGTCAGGCTTTTCTTTTGGCTCTCTATCATCACAGCTTGGAAGGACGGGCCTGGAGTTGGCAATAACCTTCCTGGCAGAAAAGAGGCAGACAGAATTCTTAGCCTGTAGTGTATTAAAACGTACAGACCACCACCACAAGCCTCAGTTGGTCCCAGCTCCCAGGCTTTCAGATGAGCTTTCCTGGAATGGTCACCATATTTGAACTCAAAACAGCCTGTTGTAACATCGCCACGATAATTCACTAAGTAGATCCCAGCTTACGTGTACAATTATTTCAGAAGCTGGCTGGATGATAAAACCCATCTGAAGGCTCAGAATCTGTGGTTTTACCATGTTTCTCCAGATGGGATTTTCTGACTACAGTCAGCAGCATGTGAGAATGTGTCCCAAACCAATCTCAGCATTGTCATGCACCCCCATCTTTCTCACTGTGGCTGACAATCAAGATACGTCTAACAATTGCCTGGAATACTTGAGGGGATTTGCTTCCCCTTATAGACTTTTACAGAGTGACTGGAAGAACAACATGGGTATTCTATCGATATTCTAATATTCAAGAGTATTCTATTCTCGGGTTATCTCTAGTAGCCCAGGACCAGATTACTCATTTCCCTCCTACGTGCAACAGAAACTATGGTATTTTCATTTTTGTAATGAAACTGCCCTTCTCTCTCTTACAGTCATTCCATGAGGAGGAGATTTTTTATTATTATTATTATTATTATTAGCACTCACCCCTGGACCTTGTCAACTTTTACTGCAAGACATTCTGAAATATGTCAGCATGTGTTAACGATTCAATCCAGCTGTTAGAACAACTGTTCCATCACAGTTACATCCTGACTTGTAAAGGGAAGTTTGGGAACATTACTTTGCCTACCAACCTTCTCTTTCACCAACTACAAAAGCCTTTGTCTTTCCCCAAATACTACAAAACCCAGCTACCCAAAACTGCATCTTTATCCCTGATAACTTCTGCCACTTTCTAGAAGTGTCTCACTTCCAAATTCTGGAGCTATTTAACATCTTGGAGCAGCATAAAATAAACACACTATCCAATCAGAAAACATGTGCAGGATTGTCTTTAAATAACCATTTTCACTGATATATTGAAGACCCCCATTTTCATAATTCACTTCAAATTGTTCCAGACTTAATAGTGCTGTAGAATCCAGAGGTTCCACAGCTGCACCAGCTCTAAGTTATCAGAGGCTGCGTGAGATCTTGCTAAGAATTGTTTCCTAAAAGCATGCTAAAAGGAGTAGTATCTTTCTAGGGCCAACATAAACCAGGAAACACCAAAGAAAGCATTTTCACATATCAAAGTATTAAAAATGCTATACTTCATGCATGCACAAGCATGCACATATATACTCATATTATCCAGGTAGTTAGAGGGAAATAACCAGCACAGAACACAGACATAAAAAATGTAAAGTGCAAATAAATAGGTGTATGAACATATGAAGTTTAATGGGAAAAGGGAAGGTTAACACTACTGCTCATTGCTAATTACTAATATCCCTGAACTGATTCAAGCCAATAATGTTTGATCCAAACTAGTTAAGTCTATACAGCACAAACGCAGCTAACTTGGTTTCATTCAGTTTGTGTCCTTCTACCTGTTGCATTATCATTTGCTTACAAGCACAGCTGCTAGCATTGGAGAAGCAAAGAGAAACTCAGTTGATTAACTGTTGCAATGAAAAACAAACTAAAAACTAAAAAAGAAAAAAGAAAAAAGGAAAAAAAAAAGAAAAAAAAACCCGAAGAGAAACGTGCAAGTTTTTAAAACTGCCATTGCAACAGCTTCAGTAATTGTTTGTAATATTTTTTTTTCCCCTGAAATCTTTGCTTTCTCTGTTCAGTTTTTCCAAAAGACTGCAAGAGCTACAGTTACAGAAGCAGTCCATTAAACATTTCTTGCAGTATAATAACCCGCCAAGAAAACCTTGCCTTTGTATTGCATTTTACTTTCAGGTTACCTCTCATACTTTAAGGTGAACAAGTTCTGCCTCGCGATAGCTGGTAAGGCAAGGATTCATACCCACATACAGATGTGAATGAAAATTGACATGTTATTTAAATAACTTGGCTTAAAGTCACAGCATCAGAATCCAGAGTTCTTGCCTCTAAGTATATTAGTACCAAACGCATTTAAATATAAAAGGATACAATCCAAAACTTCCAGTTCTGCAGGGCTCTGCTTCTCACATACTCATGAAACATCCTCCTCATGTGGTCAAATCTTTGCCGTGTTATGGGAACCCCGGTAGCAGGGAGCTGCTGTTGACAAGAACTGAAAAGAAGATGTTCTGAGGTCAGAATCCCCACCAGAAAGGAGACACTTCTCTTCCAGACTAAATTACAGCAAGAGAAAAGTGTGTATCCCCAGTATCCCTGACCAAGGTGGTTTCTCAGTACATGACCCCCCCAGAATGTAATTGTTATAGCCAGGAATACATACTGTTTTCCCATCAATTTTGTCTATATTCATGCAGCAAAGCAATTTCTCAAGCTGCTACATACTTCTTATTACAAGCAACAAAACTGAAAACAAAGTAAAACATAGAACAAAGTAGTTTTTGGCATCCAATTAGAAAAAGGCACATTAGGAGTCAAGGAAAAATTTACAGTTACTCCTGAGCAATGTTACAGAACAAAATGCTACAGAGATTCTTAAGACACAGATCAATTTAAAATAAAACCAAACAGACATCATCATACTTTAAAAAAAAAAAAAAAAAATCTTGATTTGCTGGTAAGTCTAAGACTTCTGCAGATGGAAGAAAAACTACTGGGGTTCTCAACATACTTTGTGATAGTACATAACTATCGTAAACCCACAGAGGAAACTGAGGCACCAGAAAGGTGAAGTGACTTATCAGAGTTATGTTCAGCCAGTAGCAAGCCCCTTGATTCCAAGTCTTGCGTCTTATGTACTCAACCATATTTTCCTATAAAATTGACTGCATTTGGAAGGAAAACTGCAGCAAAGCCATCATGAAGAGTAAAAGTGTACGATCACCCAGTGAGCATAGCTTTAAAAAACAACATTGTCACTGGCTTCTTCTCAGAATTATTCTAACTGACCTGATGCATCTTTTCTGATGCTGCCACTGCTGTGCATTCATGCGCAGAGCTTGCTGAAAATCCACACGATTTGCTATCAATGCCCATCCCACAGCAACTATGCTTTTTGTCTGGAAGTTGGTAGCAACTCTACTTCTGTTCAATACCTATCTGTTGTTTGGCATGACATCTGAGGCAAATATTCCCTGTTGTTAGCCAAAGCAACATTCAAGCTGCTCTGCTTCGTTACAGAAAGCTCCCCAAATCTCACATGATGGTAGCGTTTAGCTCCTCGATTTCTTCCCGAAGGCGCCTGGTTTCCTCTTGCATCTGTGTTCTTTCCTGCTGTAGTTTAGCGATATATTCTACTGTTTTCTGGAGCATGATTGCATGGCTGATCTAGACCAAACACAAACATAGAGCTCACTTTCTGGAACAAAGCTAGACAGATGAAGAGTTTGCCCCTAACCTGCTGTAACACCTAGAAAAGCACTTCAGCACCTTTTCTTAAGTTTCCTTCACTGTGTGCAAAAGCACACAGATAGGCAGAGCGAAACACTTAAGGTAATACGAAACCCTTCATTTCTCTGACTCCTGTTTGCACACTAGTACAGAGAAACGTGGCTGCGGTGGCTGTTTTCTTCCACAAATTACGTTTTTGCTACTTTTTTTAAAGAAGTATTTTAATAATTTAAAATGTTTTATTTCATTACCTATCCTCTTAAAAACATTTACAATTTTTGCTGAAGTACTGAAGGATGTGCTACATCTGCTGATAGATTTATAGCGCTGTTAGAAGCATTGTTTGAAGTTGACAACATAGATTATTTAGTTTGGGAAACCTGAAGTTATTAAACAGAAGGTAACGGGGCCTAGCTATCACCAAAGGAGACAGAAACAATGTCACAAAACTTTTTAAAAATACCCTTCAGTTTTGAGGAACGAATTAAAAATGTGTACTTGAGAAATAAAATAATCAGACTTTTTACTAAAGCTGAGTTTTCAAAACTGATTACCCTTTCAAATAGGCTATTCAAATCAGGAAGTGAAATTCTGACAACTTATGGCCTAAATGTATAAAACTATAAAAATTATGTAAACAAATCAACATGCTGCACAATAAGGTTTTGTATTTTCCATGTTTCAAAAGGTACTGGTATGTAAAGAACATTTAGAATTTTGTTGTGCAGACAAGTCTGTGTTTCAATTATTTTGATTTCAATTTAGTGAACTAAGTTAACTAGCGTAGCCAGAATATGTTCTTAATTTGGACAAAGTCATTTGACAATAAGTAGTCAGTTGGGAATTTTTTTCTCTGTAAATCTATGCACAAAAGACAGGTGACGGGACAAAAAAGCCCTGAGAATATTTGCAAGGCTGTGGGCACAGGGCCAAATTCTTAAAGGCAGCTGGGTGATACTAGACGTAAAGAGTCCTAGAAGGATTTTTCAAAATCATCTGAACTGGCCAGGCTCCTGACTCCTCCTGGGGGGTAGAGATCTCATTGATGTAGGAAGTTTTAGACATTTCACTGGACTTTTTTGTTCTTCCTTTGGCTCACTGACATGTTTCAACAGTATTTGCAGGCACACAAGGTTGCTCCGCCATGCTCTCAGATGGCCAAACACAGCACAGCTATGGTTAGCATGGCACGAAGCCTAAGCTAACAAGCTGTGCTTATAGGTGGGTATATTAGCTCAGGCCAAATGTCAAGGTATATTAAGCCAGGCCCAGCATCGTACTAACAGCATCTACCTGGCTTCTGGCTAGCTCATGGTTCAGGCAGAATAAGCTTACAATACTGGCTGGATCATAGCTTTTTCAAATCCAGCTATGGGGACCAGATCCCATCCAGAATGGGTATAAAAAGCCAGTATGTCAGAAGAAAGGTGATATAACAGTAAATGCAAAGTCATCTTACGCTGCAAACATGACAAAAATCTTCATTACTGGGGTCCCAAAAGCAAGGATTGCAAAGATCAGTTTTTCTTCTTTCCCTGTTGGCTTTAAAGCTGCAGCATCTCATCAGGCAAGATTTGTTCAATGTTTGAAGCTGCATCCGAAGAACAATGTCTAAAAGATGAAGCGCTTTCATACACTCTCTTGACTATAAGCCATGGATTTATCACCCTTCCCTTTCCAAGTCCCTCAGTTCAAGTATCTTCACTGATTGACTGGCATTCTCAGTCAACAGTGAAGAGATTAAATTTATTAACAAGCCTTTTTAGAATGGCTCTTTCTTATATTCCATATTAAACTGTTAGTGTTGCCAAGTTACTTACCGACTTGGAGTTGGCTGAAACCAAGCTGTTCAGAGTACTGAAACCAATCTTGATATTAAACCTTCGTTTTTGTTCTGAAATATGCTTCATTCTTCGATTCTGCATAAATAAAATTAGCTCAGTCTATGCTGTTCTCCTTTACCATTCTACTGCTATGAGTGTTTCAGCTATTCAAATTCACAGTGTCATTTCTGTTGAACTGTGACATTCAGTCTTCCCAGTCAAAGCCACATGACTATAAATTTGCAAACAATGATTTAAGTTATTAAAAAGAAGTGTCCAGTGTATTAAATTCAATTCCAAACCTTGTAAGGTTTTCTTCCTAAAGTAAGAATTCCTATTTAAGACCGCTACACAATTTCCTTTTCTGAAGTCAAATTCCAACTGCTGAGCATGTAATTAGTTAGGATCTTGTTGAAGCCTTTAAGTTTAAAGCAGTCCATATAATTTATTCCTAATACATATATAATGTCTACTGATGTAAATAGGCAGTCTGACAAAAATAAAGAAAAAAGAATCCACAGCTCTCGCCTACCCTGAGGATAAAGGCTTTGTCAGGAATTAACATTTTCATTTGTAGCATTAAAAACTTAGAAGTTGTTTCCACCAAAATCCCTGAAAGAAAATAAAGAGTTTGCACTTTGAGAATGTATTCTTGGCAAAGCCAGGCTTTCTGACGGTAGCTCACCATCAGCCCATTTTATAATGGAGGAAAACAGTGTAATAAAGCAGTGAAGTGGCTGCCCAAAACCACAGAAAATGCAGGTTCAAGAGCAGAACTGAGATTTCCAGTGCCCCCTATGCTTTGCCAAACTGAAAAAACAATGTTACCCAGCAATACAGAACTGTTTACTCTAAATAACAGTGCAGAGGAACAAAAGAACATACATCTAGAGACCGGCAAACATCACTTTCTCTTGTCTTACAAAAGAGTTACTGACAGTACACACCCAAAGCAATTCCTGTCAAAGCAGGTGAGTTTAAATGGCTACAAAGCCTATCTCATTACAGTGCCCTTAGTTTTAAGAACACTCCTCCATCTAGTGGCCACTTTCCCACCATCGGCCAGTCCTAACAATTTGTTCCTTTGTTAATTTGCTCTCTAGCAGCAAGAACGGGCTGCAACTACTGATTGTGAGCGTTTATGCCAAGCAAAGAACTGCAAATTTTTACGAGTAACTTGCAGCATGCTCAGCAAGTGGCAGTTCTGATTCTCCTCTGCAGCAGAGCTAGAATTGAGTGCAATCACAGGCTGCGAGTGTTTAAACTTACCTTTCTGCCCTGGAGTAATCAAGCTGACATCAACTCACAGGGTATACAAAGACAGAGAAGCCAAAAAGAGTCTGGCACTTGGGAAATGGTTAAGTATCACTCCCTTTTACAATAGAATGAATGAGAGGGTTAGAGCTGATTTTCCTGTATTGGCTGGTTTTTGTGGAAAAGCTTCTCATACCATCACAGAAAGTGTTCTGACAAGGTCAGCTTGTGTATGAGGTACAGCCAGCTTTCAGATGCTATCTCTAGACCGCCGAGTTCTTACCCCAGTAATTCTCGAAGGGTTTTACAGCTGTAACTTGTAGAGTCTGTGGAGCTGCTTCTCTGTGGAGCAGCATAGCATCACTGGAGACATGTAAGTAACTCAGCAGGTCAAGAACTCCCTCTCCAGCGATGGCCAGAGCCCTGCAGACCTGAAGATCCCCAACAGAACAATGGCAAAAAGCCATGGTTTAGAAAACTAAGCCTGAAACCTTTGACCAAGTAAACTGAGACCTGTCATAACACTCCTGTGAACCACAGCAGGAACTGTATCATGACCATAAGGACCTGCAGAGGTACAGTTAAGCCAGGCCCCTCTGGTGACACAACCCTGAGGAGCGGAGCAAGCGGATTATTAAAGTCTGAAATTTTAAGTTGAACAGAGCAGCACAGATGCAGTGCAAGCTAAGCCTAAGGCACAAATATACTCCACGGTTCCTGAAGCACAACTTACTTTCTAGTCCATGCTCAGACACCAGGGCAGAAAAGTAGCTACGAAGGCAAAGAAGAAAAGCACCTCAAAGGAAAGGACACACACCTTAAATGCAGCCATATTAGGGTCAGTGGCAGGTTTTCCTGAGCAGCTGTTCTGGGGAGACTGTGGACTGGGGCTCTGCTCAGAGGTGCAGGGGGAAGCTTGGCCTGAATTCTGACAGTCTCGGCCTTCATAAAGGAAGAAAGACAAGTCTCATTAACAAACAACTTTCTGTAGCAAATGTAACTGCTGAGAAGTTTCTATTCAGAATTGAACTGAAATGAAAGTCGGCAACCAAATTATACTCATTGATGCAGCAACCACATGCTAGAAAATGTCAAGATTGCTGGGAAAGCTTAGTATTTCATGGCACAAGGCTAATACATCCAAAATAGCGATATGTAAATACTCCTCACACACACACACCTTTCAGCAAAGCCATGTTGAACCTGTAGGCTGCAATTCCATCGTCCGGCTAAACTCCCCCATTTGAGGCTCTAGTGGCCTGGGACACGACAGTAACACTTACAAGCCATTTACCAGCAAAACCAGCGTATGTGTCTAAAACCGGCCCAGATAGCGCTCTATCAACACGCATGCAAAAGGAGTCTTTGCACTTACCTGCTGTTAACAAGGATTGTGTCTGAGATCCTCCAATCAAAATTATAGTTATGATACTGAACAACAAACCTATTCAGCACTTTCTACACAGATGCCTTTCAAACGGGTTTAATTTCTTGGTGACTATGACAGTACATCCTTTTAGAAAGGAGCCACTTACAGGAAGCACAAAATCACAGTTTGTGGGAACGCTGCACAGTAGTTTAAGACAAAAATTGCAAACAACTGGATGCAAGCAAAGCTGCAGGGTAGAAGGGCCTAAAAAGCTTTTCCTTCAAAAATTATCCAGAAATCCTCAAGGCCCATTTACACGGTAACCAATGGAAACACACTTACATGTGTAGGGGAGAGAGAATGCTTACAGCTTTCTAACTTACTAGGTGTAGGTGAGGGAACTTGTGAACTGCTACTGTGGGAAGGGATTTGCTCTCCTTTCACCAACACATCCTGGACTACGCTAGGAGAGAAGAGATGTGAGACTGTGGACTGGGTTTGTTGACTACTTGGTGCTTGCTGTGCTGGACCAACCAGAATGTTACTATGGAACTCCGTCACCCCGGGAGCCTGGGAACAGCATAGAAATAGCACAGAGAAAAACAGAGAGAAAGAAAAAGAGAGCAGGAAGGGGGGGATGGGGGCAGAGGGAGAGAAGGGATGAGAGAAAAGGGGGGGAGGAGGGAGGAAGAGAGAGAGAAAAAGAGAGAGAGAGAGATTTGTTACCTTGCCTTTCACTAAAAGTAGCAAATTAATACATGATTAACAATCTGATTACATGAAACAAGGGCTAATATATAAGGAATTGGCAGGCACTGAAGTCAAACTTCTGGCAGGAGACCAGTATCCTTTCATAACTTAAAGCAGTATTACAACACATCAACAGCATAATATACTAAAAACTATTTCATCTTCCTGCATACAACGTATAGGGAAACCCACTCATATACTCAAGGCATGCTTTCCAATATGTAAATGGAAAGCTGAGCATCCTGGGTTCCTTCTAGCTTCTGCACGATTAATAAAAAGCACAAACCATCCCCATTCATAGTACTGTGTATACATGCCTCTTTGTAATCTTACTGTTGTGTGAGACAGAGTCTGTGAAGACTAGATAGAGCTTCCAGGCCCATAAAGCAGCTACGTTAAAAATAAGCAAGCATAAAGCTGAATGCACAAATGTATATGCTGGGTAACAGGTGAGATTTAGTGGACTAGTTACCCTCCTGAGCACATTACGGCTCTAACTACTTGCAAATAACAGGCCTAAAAAACACATTTTTTTTTTCTTCTCCTTACTCTGACAATTCCAGCTGGTGCAATTGCAACATTAGACTGAGACGTGGCTGGCGTCAAAATCCCCTCTCTTTTTAAAGGTGCTGGAGTTACAATCACAGCTCTGGACTGTCCCTGAAAGGCAGCTGAAGAACACAAGTTAGAATAGTTAATGAGACAAAAAAAAAAGCTGAAGGTTATTTTGTATGAAATAATTTGTCATTGAACAGGGGAATGGATTAATGGGCACCTATTTGGTACTATTTCATTGCAATACAAAGTGTCACCAGTTTTCTGATAATCTCAATCCCATGAATTCAGTACAAAGGACTAACACACCAGTTATTTCTGAGGCTTCTAGCATCACTGTCACTCTTTCAAGATGGATTTACAGAGGTACCTAGTAAATCAGGGAGGTGCAAAGTGTCTTCATTCTATCAGAGCTGGATTTTCATTCTATCAGAGCTGGATTTCACAGAAGGAAGATCACCTTCACCTCTCCTCTCCCATCCATACTTCTTGGATCTCAGGCTTGCTCTACTGACCCAGAAAGGGTCAATGACAGAAACCAGCTGAAGGATGCATATTCAATACTTCATGCTTCCTTGTATATATATTAAATTCTCTTCCTCACCACTTCACTCTACTAGGTTCTTTCACTATCTGGTTTTACAGCTGCTTTACATGACACACAAGCACAAGACAACCAAATGTGATTGGGAATCAGCACCAAAATTCCAGAAAATAGGCTGAAGAACCAGGAGTTCTGCAGTGTTAGACAGCTAGAGATAATTACAAATAGCAGCAATTGTCTCCACATAGAAAGTTACAAAAAATTCTCAAAAGAAGTCTGTACAGGAGGCTTGCCCCCATGACAGAAATCGGGATCCTTGCTCTGAAGTTTTTTTCACCACTACAGTATTCTAGTCTAACATAAATCTGTTAAGGTCTCAATTTAACCTATGTAGATGTACAGTTTTGACATGGCATTAATGTTGACATTGTTCTTGCCCAGACTTTAGAGAGAACATGACTAACCATCCTATATTGTTACTAAGGAAAGAATCATGCAAAGACACAGCTTCCGCATGCTTTTTGAGAAAACTAAACCAAACTTACTCAGTTCCATTCTAGCCTGTATTGGCTTCAGCTCCCCTTTGTACTAATAAAGTCATGATGTATGAAAAGTGTCAGAGTACCTCAGTCACTGCCAAACTATCCCTCTGCAGTTTAGCATCAGGATATTGAAGGACACACACACAGCAGAACAGGGAGACAGTGCAGGATATCTAATGTCCTCTCCCCTACTGTGTCATCTGCAACTAACAACAACTGTGTTTTGAATCAACTAAAGTTTCTGTATAGCCTTTATTAGAAAGGCCTGTGGATCATACAAACCTCGTGTCAGCCCTTGCGTGGGTATACCTGGCAGAGAGCACTGTCACTCTGATACAGGGAGTTCATGCTTTGTCTGAGCATTCCCACATATAAAGCTGGAATCACAACCCTTCCACTGTTCACTAATGTTCAGACAGACTTATGACATCTCTATTGAGCTAAAGAGCCTACTCTTACCAATGCATTAATGCTGCTGCACAAACTTGGTATTTCTGACTTCCACATTTGGGTAACTGTAACAATCAGCACATATTTAGATGCCCCTTTAGATTTTTCACGTTTCTATCCTACACATACATATTTTGCAGACTTTCCTCTCAAAATCAGAACATTCATCCTGAAGTGGTGATAGCGGAGTTCCTTCCCATGTGAAGTCTTGCACCCGATGAGACAATCTGTGCAGATTTTTGAGTCCTTATATCACAGGGCAGTAAATGTTACACATCCCTTTCTAATGCAGGCTATAATGCAATTTGTTTTGTAGTCATGAGATGATTTGTTTGTCCTGAACACAAATGACAGTCATTGCCTTAGTTACAAGTACTGATGTTTATTCTATTGCCAAAAGTAAAGCTCCAGTCTTTACATAAAATCTTGGATTTGACCTCTGAGCTTGGTGTCCCAGCAGTTTAGGAGCACTGTGATCCCACTGCCAGGAATGAAGAACAGCAACAACTTTAAATCTAGATGAGAAGCTAGTTGTGATGATCCAGAAATAACTGACGAAGTATTGGGAAAGTGATATATGGGGTGAGGAACAACCCAACAAGCACTAAGAACGCTAGGAGCAAAGGCTTTCTGAAAATGAGAGTTGCCTACAATGCTTTACTAGGTGAGAAACACGTCTCGACTGCTGAAGGTATATGGACTCTTGCTTTATAACGTACTATAGACAGAAACACTGCCATTAACATCCTAGTGTTATTAATCATGGGCCAACATGTTCCCAGTGACATGCTAGAATTAGATCCTTGGGTCTGTTCTACTCCTGAACAGTGATGTTTTGGGGTTTTTTTTGGTGTGTAACCGCAATGCCAGGCCCTGGCAGACACACCTACCCCTTAGTAAAGCCTGTTTAACAATATTCCTCCAGGCAGGGTTTTTCTTGGATTGTTGTTGCACATTTTGGGTGGCTGAAGTCACTTGGCCCCCAGCCAGCACAAGTCTAAAAACAGTGTGCAATAATCCCAAGAAAAAGTATACTGCCTGTCCTGCTCTAGTCTTGAGCTTTCCCACAAGAACCACCACAAGCAAAACTTTCTCTGCTCGCACTTGCTATTCTTAGCCTTGTGCAGTGCCAATGGCTCCAAATCATACCCAATGTGGAGGTCCCAGCATATCAGTTAGGCGCTCATACTCAGCTGAAAACCACGCACTCCTGACAGCATCTCAAGAGTCTGTAAATTGCTTGAGACAAAGATCTCCAGCTCCCCCTGCCTGTTCTTAGTCCTTCCCCACAGGAAGGACTGATTCTCATCACCCCGGTCCTTCTAGGGAGCACTGATGGTGGATCAGAGGCACACTCCCATGCTTCCATTTGGACGAACACTGTGGCCCACTTCAACAGCTGCTCCCTAGACAACACTGTACTCAGTCTCAAAGAGTTTCAGGCACACTAAGATGAACCTCAGAATACATCCAAAGTACTACCAAAGGATGTACACCAGTACCTTGGTATTACAGAGTGCGATGATGCACAGGTAGGCAGAGTGACTTGTCCAGGGCAACCAGATGAGTCAATGACAGGGACAGATCTGCCATTCTCCATCCCACACTATCTCCCTACCATCTCCTACTCTATTGTGGTTGAATGCTCTGAGGGGCAGAGTTAATCAGAACAGCATTAAACATCAAAATCAAGGTTTCTAAGGGGTAGGAGCAGAGAGCTCTAGTCATCCCATGTGCTGATGCATCTATACAGCCCAGCACAAATTTTACAAGGAGATACCCCCTTTGGCAGGTTGGCTTTTCACACTCACAACCAAACTGCTTCCAATCCTTGCAGCAGTCCAGAGCATCCCATTGAACAGTGTAGCCACACACCAGTGAATTCAGGGGTCCCTTGGACACCCTCAGGAAGCTGTATTTTTACTTATTATGTAAACTAAGAAAAGCAAGAAGGTCTCTCCCTCCTGCTAGTCCCACTCAGAAAAGAGCACCACCAGTGCTTCTCACCTGGGGTGATGAAGGCATTCTTTAACAATAAGGACACTGTTTCAGGCTTCGGAGCAGGCACTATTTTTTGTGACTGTTTGGGCCTTGTCCCAGCACTGGCCAGAGGAACAGCTTTGAGGAGTGCAAATGTCATTTGGGACTGCAGCTGGGGCCGGGGCTGTCCCTGCAGGACAGTAGTCTGGAAAGCCAGGTTACAAGGCACTCCTGCACCTGGCTGCTGCATTGCCAGGACAACATTCTGGCTCTGGCTGAAGGTGGTGGCAGGGGCATTGTGGGTCAACGTAGCGGAAGCTGTGTGGGTGATAACTGTAGATTCACAGAGGCCAAACTTCTGAGTTTCTGGTGCAGCAAACGCAGCTGGTGGAGAGCTTAAGCTAGAATTCAGAGGCACTGCAGGCAACGGGGACTGGTGCTGTTGTGTCGCAGGTTGAAGTAGTGGCAAAGGTGTCTGAAACACTGGCATAAAAGTTTGTGGCCCGCTGAGAGACGAGTCGGGAGTGAAGTCCGCTGGCTGGATGAAAGATCCCCCGCTTCTAATGCTGGAACACTGGTCAGTGCCAACATCAGGAATGACAGGAGCAGGTACTGAGGAAGCAATCAGTCCATCACCGATGTTCCCCGCTGGAAGTGTGTTGGGCAATGAACCTGACGGCAGGACAGGAGACTGACAGAAAAGAAAAATATCACAGATTCAGACATGACCCCTGAAACTCTTGTCTGAATTTCTTCTGAGAAGGACATGGCTCATGTCTGAGAGTCTTCATAGCACATACGTGTCTGAGATGAGGTTGTTTTAAACATTGAGAACCTCTCTTACCTGGGAAGAATGGCTGCTGCTGTCTGTTGTAGCTGAGCTGACAGCAGACACAGAAGGGAAATAACTACTGGAACGACTGGGTGTGAATAAATCTGAAAAGTGAAAAGCCACCTATTAATTTTCTACTTTTCATACTCAAGGTACAGCATTGCTAGATACTAAAATTCAAAGGAATATAAATACGATTTAGCAAATAATGAAACCATGAGATTTTTGCTTCATACAACTGCTGCTGACTGAGCAATGAATTGTTGTTTTCCAGAGGAACTGATCTCTTCAGGGCAGTCATCTTCAACTTTCATGCAAGCTGAAGACAATACAAAAACCAGTTTGCTGTTTAAGGTTCACCGACACACAGACAGCCAAGAGCTGATTCTCAATGCAGTCCCACAAAATTCAGTTATCTGATGCAGACTGCATGCAGGCCCAGCAAACACATGACTTTTGACTTCCAGGAAGATCCATAACCATCAAAGTTGTCAGTAGTAGTTTATGTCATATGTAATTCTTGAGAGTACCAGAAAATGTTCCAAGGCAAACAAAGTGTTAAATCGCTTCATCACTAGGAAGTGTTAATGGGAAAACCTTAGTGATTCTGTGAGTTCTCCTGTCCACATCTAATGTTCTATCTTTAATTACTCAATGACTTAAGGTCTAAATGCTATTCTTTTGAAAGGCAAATTAACAACCAGGTTCAAATGTTGGAATAAACAATCCTAAAGTGACTCTCAAACCCAGGTAAGTAAAGGACTGGGGTCATAGTAACAAGGGAGTCTACCCACATATGCATCTGCTTGAAATAATGAACAATGAAAACATGTATCAAGTGTTCTTCACCTTTCACTCAAATCTCTTGCCTTCTAAAGAGAATAGATATCTGCAACATTTAATATTCTGTTAAAAACTGGTTCATAAATCACAGCAATTTCAAAGAAATTGACTATATGTCTGATTCTTACCCTGAAAAGGCTCAAAAGTATCCATAAAATCAAAATTTGGCTGTAGAGGAATAAGCCCTGGTTGAATCATGTCAGCATTTCCTAAGTGTGCTGGAAAATTCAAGAAACAGATTAGATTAGCTTCACATCACTTGCACAGTAACAGCAGTAAGAATATAGCATTTGGCTACAACACCAACACACACTCCACAGCCAGGCTTGGCCAGGATGTTTACAAAAAAACTGCTGCTGAAATGAACTGAGCATCTGCTTTTCTTCAGAGCTACAGCACAGTTCTGAAATCAAAACCATTGGGGAATGAAACTTTCAACTAGTAAAATAGAAGAGGTGAAACCTGAAGGCTCTGAGTAACAACTGGGGATCGCCAAGCTTGGGCGCCTCCTGCTCCCAAACCTCCTGTCCCACCCCTGCTGCACAATACATAAACATGCTGGGAAGCACAACCTGAACCACCACAGCTCTTAGCACAGTATTTTAAAATAAACCATCATCAATTTCATTTTGCCTCAAGTACACTCCATGTAAACCATAGTTGCTCTGGAGTCGCTCAGACAGCTTAGACGTCCGTGCAGCAAGGATGATGCATAGTGGACATCTGCTGTCCCATTAGACAGTCAGTGCCTTGAGTTAGAGAGCATTTGATAGAACTGTGTAGCTCTTGGGATTGTTTTTACAGGAGATGCGACTTGCACTTGTTCTAACGGATATATCCAAAGAAAAATACATTGGCGTTGCCTTAAAAATACACACACACATATACACTTTGAGATAAATAACAATGCCTTCACTACTGATAAAGGTAAATACTGCTTGTTACAGATTTATTCAGAACAACATTAGAGGACAATGCTAGGAGCAGCACGTAAGAAGCCAAGATAGAAATTAAATTTAGATGAATAACTGGGATTCCATAACCTATAAAGCATTAGACAGCTAGATTGTCTGACCTATTTTTACCTGTATCAGCAAAATAAGATAAATTTCATAGGCAAGACTAGAAAAGCAGCAAAGCAACAAACCAGACTTCTCCCAGAGGTTCCCATTGTAAAATCAACATAGCTAACAGCCAACAAATACCTATGTCCCTGGAATTTGGCCAGGAAACCAGTTGATGTGAAGACAGCGTGGAGAACAGCGTGTCAGTGAACTCGGACATAAGCATATCTGCATCCAAAAGGCTGCCTTCCTCCATAGGGACAGGGGTTTCTCTGCCATACCTTCTTTTTTGCCAGAGAACCAAATCATCATCCTGCCAAAGGAAAGGAAGAAAAGTCAGGCTGCCTAGACAATGCTAAAGCAGTCAGGTGCAGATATATAAAAACAATCTTCACTTTTCGAGAAAGAAACTCTCCTTACGAGCCTTTCAAATGGACTGAAACAGATCAGTGGTACTTCTAATACAACAACAACTTCAGCTCACTGATTTGAGCAACAACAGAAACCTTCAGTAGAATACCACAATACTCTGGGAAAGGTTTTTTCCCAAAAAACAGATGTTGACTAGAAGGACATAAGACAAAATAACTTCATCAACACTAGTTTCATTGATTACACGTATATTTTTGCAGTTTAACGATCCCTCGGTTTGAATAAAGATTTAAAAATAACATGCACAGCAAAAACTCAAAGCAAACAATTCCTATCCTGAAGCATATCTCTGAAATGTAGTTAAGTGTAATTGTAATCTGACTTTGCACAAGGTATGCTGATATTCTTGTGGACAGTTTTAGCCCATGAAAAATACAACATAATGTGACTTGGCTTACCCGTCCTTCACTACAGGCTAAGCTAAATTACATTGCCTTGCATTTGCTGCAGACTAGAAGCACACACAGCCAGGTTCCTGTGGCTGAGCCAACGTGCAGCTGCAACTACACCAACGTACTGTAATGGTGCATTGGAACTCATGGCCAAAACAGCTGAGAGTTTTGTGAAACTGGAACAGGTACAGAGTTATGCTTAACTCCAAAAAGAAAAAAAAAACCCCAAACCCAAAACAAAACCACAGAACAGTGCTTCATCAGTTTATATGCCCAAAGTAGGTTTGATGGCTTTAGGGGGCATACTAAATGGTGATACCATTGTTCCTTTAAACATTTTGCCTTTTTTAAGATCTGCAACATGTAGCACACACATCTTCACAGATCTAGTTACACAAGCAAGGCAGTAGTGCCAGCTACGACTCAGTAACAAGATGAAACAATGTGCCAGCCCTTAAGGAGATTGATCTTTCTGGGCACCCAATACTAATTCTCATTTCTTCTGTCACAGCACTTTACATTCAACCTCTCTTCCATTCAGTTTAAGCTACAAGTCTTACATTGCTCTCTAAGATGCAGAAATATTAAGGTATCTAACCTTAATTAAGGCTTAAGCAAGATGCTTGTCTTTAGATTTTAATCAACGCAAGCTACTGCACGTTACAGCTTTGTTACTTATTACAGCTTCTACAAGCAGAAATGCTGCCACTTATCAGCGGTATTACCTACCCTGACCAAACTCGAAAGATCTTCATCTTTATGTTTCTGTAACTGCAAAAGGAGAACAAAACACATGTTAAAGTCAGAATAGGTCCTGTATATAGGCCAGTAGAAGACCTGATTTTGCAAAACTTTTAAGACCCAATCATCCACAACTAGTCCCTGCACAATAATTTTTAGTTAAGTGGGACTAATCAGATTAGTATGCCTGTACTAGCTTATCATCTGTTTTAAGTATTCTTGCATGTTAGCAAAAGAAGTGACATCAAAAGTCAAAAAGCAACAACATACTGATCAAGTTCAAGTAAGCTACTTTCACTGCTGTGTAAACCAACAGACCCTTTTCTTGAAGTATGTTCTCCACTTGTGGTATTCCCTGATGACTATTTCAATTCTTCGTTTCCAGTATTTCCCTTCTGTTGCAATGGCCTGAGAACACAAACACATACCATGAATTACACGGAATCACATATTGGCTGAATGTTCAATAAATTTCCAAGCAAATATTCAGGCAGAAAAAATGCAAAAGAAAGCATGCTAATTCTGTTTGAGCTCGTGTATCAGCAGTCCACACTGTCCCAGAGTTCAGCTATCACAGAGCAAATCTGACAGTACTAACTTCATCTTTCCCACAATAAACAAACAAGAGATGATGTCTGACTGCACTGTCAGCATCTCCCACATCAGCTCAACCATAACCAATAGTTAAGAAATGGCAAAAACCCTTTAAAATTAATTTACTAAAATATAATGTATAAAGCATACAATATCCTGTCCTGCAGAAAACAGGCAAAGATAATTTCACAAGATTACATGAACATGCACACACATACGCAAAAGCTGTTAAGAATGACACAAAGCAATAGAAATCTGATGTCCAGCTCAGGGAGAAGTGTGACCTTGCAGGCCACATACTAATAGCAACAAAAGGATCAGAACAATGTGGGTCTTTAATGTATCACAGATAGCAGAGTATAAATTGGGGACAGCAAACTAATGAGAGCCTTAACACAACTTTCTTGTGTTCGAGGGTCATCTTTCAACACAAACATCAATACTGTTCTTTCAAAAACCTGAGACATTTCCACACTCTCATCTGGAACTCCTCTGAGTTATAAATTATTCTAGAGTTATGCAGTACAGACAGCGCCACGTACTGCCTCACTGGTTTTCCGCAAGGAGCCAGAGGGCAGATGTTAGTTTTCATTTATGTTTACAAGAGCACAAAAATGAAGTATGCAAACTCGTATTCACTCTTTTCGTGAAGTTACCTTGACAGAGAAAAAGAAATTGCTTGTTGTCTAGAAATCACACCTCATCAATTAAATAAAGATACAGAAAACTCTCACAGGGTCACTTAAGATTCAATCCTGGAAACAGTCGTCACCGATTTCAGCAATCTCCAGCCAGAAGAGAGCAGTGGCTGTCAAAATCTTAACTATTAAAACTGCACTTCTATGACTTGTGTTTCACTAAACTAGATCATAGACATAAGTTACATAGATAATAAATGTCCTTCTGGTTGCACCCTGATCATCTCAATACGATAAACTTACAAAAATGGGTTCAACTTTATATTAACAGTTCCTTCTAAATAAAGACTTCAGAGCAAAGAATTGCTATACTGCTCTCATATCTAGTGGACAAGAAAATCTTGTTATGAACTCTAGAGCTCATTAGTCTGTTCCTCAGGTTTTACATACCTCTGGCCGACGATGTTCATCTACATCAACAGAGCCGTCCAGCGGAGTCACAAAATGGCACACTGGATTCTTGCGCTTCTCCAGGTCTGAAACAAGAATGAAAATCTGAGTGCTCAGCACATGCAGACTCTGCGAAGAGCCCTGTCACTTCAATGGCAAGATGTGAAAAAAAATCTAGCCAGGTTCCTTCCAGATAGCCAACAGTAAATGGGGAAATCTCAGGCTGTGCTTGGACTGCTCAGTACAGCCTCTGTGTGGACATTTCTAAGAAAGCACTGATCCAAAGGCACTGCCGTGACAGCCTCTGAGACATCTGGGCCCTGAGCAGATTTTTGAGCTTTTCATTAGACAGTAATTTCAATTTTCTTGCTTCTTACATATATGTCTCTGGGAAAATATTTTAAAGCAAGCGACACAACCAAGCATGACACTTACACTGCATGTACCATGCCCTCCAGATGGCGTTATTGAGACGGATTTTATCTCTCCACTGAAGTTTCAAGCCTTTAAAATTTTTCCATTTTGGTGAAACCAGCTTTCCACTGGAACAAAACAGACAACAAATCATTCTGCTTTCAGTTTTTCTCTTCCCACTCCTTTCAAGACAAAGCATCCCCCTAAAACTGCCAAACTGTCAACAGAAAAAAGTACAACAAGCCACACTTGGCCAGTGACAACTTTTGCCATACGCTGTCCATGGCTTACTGATCTAGGTCTCAGAGACGAGTTCAGTTTTCAAGACTCCTTCATGTTCTCATCTGCCTGCTAACAACTGTCACAATTGGTCTCACAAGTATCTTCAGCAG